TGTACTAAACAACTGATATTAAATCCGTACTATGAGATATGGTTTGTTAAAAAATGACATGAATATTTTATTTAAACATTAGAGAATGCAATGTTTGTTTAGAAATAAAATTGAAAATACAACATAATCAATTGAAAATCTATATATTAATCTCACAATTAAGAGAAACAAATTTAGCTAGGAGAAAAAAATTATACTAGTTTGAACAAACTATAAAAATAAAGTTAGAAAATAAAATAGAGAGACTATAAACAATAAAAAAAAAATAAAAAAGTAGAGAGGAAATATAAATTTTAAGTAAGAAAAAAATGAATGATATCAAAAAAATAAATTTCATAAATCGAAAAATTGAAAATATGTAAATCTCAATGTTAAAGTTTATATGCACAAACATACCAAAGAAAAAAAATGTATAAACATATTTATTTTGTAAAAAAATTTTTATAGAATATTACAAAGAAAATAGAAACATTTTACCAATACTTTTGAATGTTAAAAAAGAAAACTGTATAAAATGAAACTTTATATATGTTATAAAATAATAATAATATATTTACTCTTAAAATCCAGAAGTGTAATATTTGACGAGTATAGATATCTATGAAAATAAATCGATTACATCAATGACATTTATCAATCATAGATTGATATATAATGCTTGATAAAACTATCTATAAAATAATTTATAGGTTTTTATGATATTGTTCGCATAAATTTATTGTTTAATGATTTATCTCTATAATATTTTAATTGTTATAAGATTTTATCATATAGAATATAAATTCATAGTGTAAGAATATTTTTTGAGAAATTGGGTTGTGATTTTTGAATATGATTCTGTTTATGTATATATATTTTTGGGTATGGATAATATGAATTATGATATGAGAATTAAGATATAAATTAAACTTTATTTGCTTAAGACCCATGTTTAATTATTTCAAAATATTTTTGTAATTTAATGGGTTACTAATTAAAACTTAAATTTTAAAATTAATCATTTTTAGTGTATCAACCCGCGTATAAACTCAGGTCCTAGTCTAGTATATATGTAAATTAGGATGTTTGCAAAAAGTATATATAGGATTTGATCCACAATGCGCAGGTTTATGTTTTCTTTTAAAACCCAAAAACCGAAACGGTTACCCTAATGCCCATGCTCAAACCTAGCTCTAAAAAATATCAAAATCAGATCTAGATATATACCCCAAAAAAATAAAGCTTTTCGGGCTAAATTCGTTTGAATTCAAGCCCAAAAATCCAGAAAATAAACACATAATTTATAAATTTGATATTATGTTTTGTTTATAGCTATTTTCTAAAGATAAACAAATTAAAATATTTTTTAAGGTGATGAAGATTTAGAAGGCACTGAAAGAGTTTTAAATCTTGACCTGTTATTTACACTGTGAATGTTTTGATTATGTTTTATTTAGCAGTACAATTTATTTAGAGTTATTTGGATTCATTTGACATTTGCATTCATTTATTCAAACTTTTACTTTAAATTACACTAAAAATTGACTCGAGCAATGCATGATTTACAATTTTCTCAAATTTAACAACAAAATATTGATTTAGTTATTTACTTTTATTTTTTCGATATCTTTTTAAACTTTATAGATATAGAAATATAATTTACTATATTTTTATCAGTAATTTTTATAATTTTAAAATAGTATTGTTGAAATAATGGGTACCACATAGTAATATTGTTAAAACAATTTGTGCATAATCTTAATTTTTTTTTATTAAACTTTCAAATAATTTGTTTTCGTAAATTTTTTTGCGGTTAAAAGCATTTGATTATATGTAAATTTATCAAATATCATTGTGTAAAATTACATTTTTACATGTGATATGCTACAAAAGTTCATATATCATTCTTTGTATATTTTGTTGTACAATTTATGTATAAAGTTACCATTAACTGTTTACTTTTTATGAGCAGAAATTTCTACCTCTTCTATATTTGAAGTAATAGTATTATAACACTTTTAAATTTTCTTTCATACTTCCATAAAATTCAAATATAACATTTTGAATAAAATGGGTTGTTCCAAATTTTCACCTTATTATCTTATCTTTTATTGAGATAGTTCAATATTTTTTTAGTGAAATAATATGTTTTCTTTCTCTTTAGATCTTCAGCCTCTTAAGTCTTAACAACCGTTTGACACTCAAATCAACAGCTCGA